CAGTATTTAGGTGATGAAGCACAGTATTTAGGTGATGGAGCACAGTATTTAGGTGATGGGGCACAGCACCTAGGTGATGGGGCACAGTATTTAGGTGATGGAGCACAGTATTTAGGTGATGGGGCACAGTATTTAGGTGATGAAGCACAGTATTTAGGTGATGGAGCACAGTATTTAGGTGATGGGGCACAGCACCTAGGTGATGGGGCACAGCACCTAGGTGATGAGGCACAGTATTTAGGTGATGGAGCACAGTATTTAGGTGATGGGGCACAGCACCTAGGTCATGGGGCACAGTATTTAGGTGATGGGCACAGCACCTAGGTGATGGGCCACAGTATTTAGGTGATGGGGCACAGCACCTAGGTGATGGGGCACAGTATTTAGGTGATGGGGCACAGCACCTAGGTTATGGGGCACAGCACCTAGGTGATGAGGCACAGTATTTAGGTGATGGGCACAGTATCTAGGTGATGGGGCACAGTATTTATTTGATTTGGCACAGTGTTTAGGTGATGGGACACAGTATTTAGGTGATGGGCACAGCATTTAGGTGATGGGCATAGTATTTAGGTGATGGGGCACAGTATTTAGGTGATGGGCACAGTACCTAGGTGAGGGGGCACAGTGTTTAGGTGATGGGCACAGTATTTAGGCGATGGGGCACAGTACCTAGGTAATGGGGCACAGTATTTAGGTGATGGGGCACAGCACCTAGGTGATGGGGCACAGTATTTAGGTGATGGGGCATAGTATTTAGGTAATGGGGCACAGTATTTAGGTGATTAGGCACAGTATTTAGGTGATGGGCACAGTATTTAGGTGATGGGCACAGTATTTAGGTGATGGGCACAGTACCTACGTGATGCGGCACAGTATTTAGGTGATGGAGCACAGTACCTAGGTAATGGGGCACAGTATTTAGGTGATGGGGCACAGCACCTAGGTGATGGGCACAGTATTTAGGTGATGGGGCACAGCACATAGGTGTTGGGCAGAATATTTAGGTGATGGAGCACAGTACCTAGATGATGGGGCACAGCACCTAGGTGATATTGCACAGTACTTAGGTGATGGGCACAGTACTTATGTGATGGGGCACAGTACCTAGGTGATGGGAACAGTACCTAGGTGATGGGGAACAGTACCTAGGTGATAGGGCACAGTACCTAGGTGGTGGGGCACAGTACCTAGGTGATGGGGCACAGTATTTAGGTGATGGGGCACAGCACCTAGGTGATGGGGCACAGTATTTAGGTGATACGGCACAGCACCTAGGTGATGGGGCAGAATATTTAGGTGATGGGGCACAGTACCTAGGTGATGGAGTACAGTACCTAGGTGATGAGGCACAGTACGTAGGTGATGGGCACAGTACTTATGTGATGGGGCACAGTACTAGGTGATGGGAACAGCACCTAGTGATGGGGAACAGTACCTAGGTGATGGGGCACAGTATCTAAGTGATGGGGCACAGTACGTAGGTGATGGCGAACAGTACCTAGGTGATGGCGCACAGTACCTAGGTGATAGCGAACAGTACCTAGGTGATGGGCACAGTACCTAGGTGATGGCGAACAGTACTTATGTGATGGGGCACAGTACCTAGGTGATGGGAACAGTTCCTAGGTGATGGGGAACATTACCTAGGTGATGGGGTACAGTACCTAGGTAGTGGGGCACAGTACCTAGGTGATGGGGCACAGTATTTAGGTGATGGGGCACAGCACCTAGGTGATGGGGCACAGTATTTAGGTGATATGGCACAGCACCTAGGTGATGGGGCAGAATATTTAGGTGATGGGGCACAGTACCTAGGTGATTGAGTACAGTACCTATGTGATGAGGCACGGTACGTAGGTGATGGGCACAGTACTTATGTGATGGGGCACAGTACTAGGTGATGGGGAACAGCACCTAGGTGATGGGGAACAGTACCTAGGTGATGGGGCACAGTATCTAAGTGATGGGGCACAGTACATAGGTGATGGGGCACAGTAGCTAGGCGATGGGTAACAGTACCTAGGTGATGGGGAACAGCACCTAGGTGATGGGGTGCAGTACCTAGGTGATGGGGAACAGTACCTAGGTGATGGGCACAGTACCTAGGTGATTGGGCACAGTACCTAGGTGATGGGGCACAGTACCTAGGTGATGGGGAACAGTACTAATGGTGTGATGGGAAACAGCACCTAGGTGATGGGGTGCAGTACCTAGGTGATGGGGAACAGTACCTAGGTGATGGGGAACAGTATTTAGGTGATGGAGCACAGCACCTAGGTGATGGGGCACAGTATTTAGGTGATGGGGCACAGTATTTAAGTGATGGGGCAGAATATTTAGGTGATGGAGCACAGTACCTAGGTGATGGGGCACAGTATTTAGGTGATATGGCACAGCACCTAGTGATGGGCACAGTATTTAGGTGATGGGGCACAGTACCTAGGTGATGGGACAGTACTTAGGTGATGGGCACAGTCACCTAGGTGATGGGCACAGTACTTAGGTGATGGGCACAGTATCTTTGGTGATGGGGACAGACTTAGGTGATGGAGCACAGTACCTAGGTGATGGAGCACAGTATCTAGGTGATGGGCACAGTACTAGGTGATGGGGCAAAAGTACCTAGGTGATGGGAACAGTACCTAGGTGATGGGGCACAGTACCTAGGTGATGGCGGACAGTACCTAGGTGATGGGGCACAGTACCTAGGTGATGGGAACAGTACCTAGGTGATGGGCACAGTACCTAGGTGATGGGGCACAGTACCTAGGTGATGGGGCACAGTACCTAGGTGATGGGGAACAGTACCTAGGTGATGGGGAACAGCACCTAGGTGATGGGGTGCAGTACCTAGGTGATGGGGAACAGTACCTAGGTGATGGGGAACAGTATTTAGGTTGGCACAGCACTAGTGATGGGACACAGTAATTTAGGTGATGGGCACAGTCATTCTAGGTGATGGGCTACAGTATTTAGGTGATGGGCACAGTACCTAGGTGATGGGGACAGTACCTAGGTGATGGGGGCACAGTATAGTGATGGGCACAGTACCTAGGTGATGGGGCACAGTACCTAGGTGATGGGGCACAGTACCTAGGTGATGGGGCACAGTACCTAGGTGATGGGGCACAGTACCTAGGTGATGGGGCACAGTACTTAGGTATGGGCACAGTATTTAGGTGATAGGGCACAGTATTTAGGTGATGGAGCACAGTATTTAGGTAAGATTAGGCATGAGACAGTACCTACGTGATGGGCACAGTATCCTTAGGTGATGCGACACAGTAACCTAGTATGTGCACAGTACTTAGGTGATGGGGCACATTACCTAGGTGATGGCACATATTAGTGATGGGGAACAGTACCTAGGTGATTGGGCAACATATCTAGGTGATGGGGCAGTACTAGTGTGTGGGCACAGTACCTAGGTGTGAGTTACAGTACCTAGGTGATGGGCACGTACTAGTGATGGGACACAGCCACCTTAGTGGATGGGACAACGTACTAGGTGATGGGGAACAGTACCTAGGTGATATGCTACAGAACCTAGTGTGGGGCAACAGTACTAGGTGATGGGGCACATATTCCTAGTGATGGGGAAACCTAGTGATGGGGCACAGTATTTAGGTGATGCACAGACCTAGGTGATGGGGCAGAACCTATAGGTGTTGGCCAGTACCTAGGTGATGGGGTACAGTACCTTAGGTGATGAGGCACACAGTACGAGGTGATGGGGCACAGTACTAGGTGATGGGCACAGACTAGGTGATGGGGACAGCACCTAGTGATGGGACACAGTACCATTCAGTGTGCGGCACAGGTATTTAAGTGATGGGAGGCACAGCAGTTTGATGGGTAACATAACGCTAAGAGTGATGGCGGCAAGTACTTTATACGAACGTCACCTGGGATTCACAAGTAACTAGGAGGAAAGACACTTATGTATGGAGCACTTATTGTTTATCCAAATCGGGAACAGTTCTTCTCAGTATGCAACTTCCTAGGTTGATTACAGTATTTGTCAGACATTTGGTGCACTTTTTTATAGGTTATGTAAAACCATACAGTATTTAGTGATACTGGACAGTACCTGGTGATGGGGCTAATATTTAGGTGATGGGCACGCCAGTATTTGGGACGCAAGTATGAGCACTACGTAGTGGCACACAGTCTCGCATGTGGGACAGCACCTCAGTGGATGGGGCAAAAACCACTAGTGATGGGGAAAGCTACCTATGATGGGCACACAGGAGGCACACTAGGTGTGGGGCACTCACTAGTGACATGAGGTACGCAGTACCTGGTGATGTCACAGATTTTACGGTGATGGTGTCAGAATAAGGTGATGGCGAAACACGCTACCCTAGGTGATGGGTACAGTACTAGTGATTGGGTCACATGTACCTAGAGTGATGGGATCAGTACAGTGATGGGGCATCATAGCTAGGCTGATGGGGACCACAGTACTAGGTGATGGAAAGCACTCAGTGTGGGCAGTCTAGGTGTATGAGCCGCACCACCTAGGTGTTGAGCACAGATTAGTGTGATGAGGGACACACCTAGTGTAATGGGGGCACAGTATTTAGGTGATGGAGCACAGTATTTAGGTTGATGCAACACTTTAGGTGATGAAGCACAGTTATTTTAGGTATAAGGAGCACATTATTTAGGTGAAGGGGCACAGTCCCTAGGTCGATTGGACAGTATTATGTGATCAGTATTTAGGTACTGGGCAACACGTATTATAGATGGGCCCATGTCAAACTAGCTGATGGGACATTTCCCAGTTATTCTAGGTATGGAGCACGTTTTAGGTGATGGGCACAGTAAATTTAGGGGATGGAAGCACGATTTTTGGGGATTCTTCTCATTATGACAAGTCTTGCAAGGTTGATTATTCAGTTTTGTAATTTGGTGTTTTTATTATATGGTTTATTAATAACACTAACGAGGACTTCTGCATACACTATACATGTACCCGTGTGTTGCGCCTTCAGTATGTTAGTGTGTTGCGGAGCCCTGCAGGTACACTGCCTGACGAAGACTCACCTACCCACGCCTGCAGCACCACCAACGCTCGACACGTCGCCGCCACCTTCGAGTGGAAGCAGGTGAGCAAAATCCTTCAATGTTACCTAACAGTGACGCCAGGTGAGTAATGTCTACGAACCTCACCTGTGAGAGGCAGGAGGAGAGTCGTGGGTTGTCACTTCCACTAGTGACAACTAGTACCTCGCAGATACCTTGCTACTTCTACAGATTTTACTGTTTGACTTGTAAATGGTTTAGGTCGGACCGAAACGTCGTCATAAACTTTTCTCTCCTATGTGCGGGTTATTTGTGTATTACTGATCTAGTTGGCATCAACATTGATAATCTAGAAGCTGTTATCTGAATATCTAGTACAGAGTGCGTGTGTGATCAGGTGCTGGACCTTCTATGGAGCGACCCCCAGATACTACCCGGCTGTCAACCCAACACATTCCGTGGTGGCGGCAGCTACTTTGGCCCCGACACCACCAAGGTCTTCCTTGCCAGGCATAGACTCACCCTCCTCATACGCTCACACGAGTGTAAACTGGAAGGCTACGAGTTTACTCACGGCAACACGGTCAGTGGTCTACCCTCGACAACACTTTATTCATAACCTTTTTTTATTAAAAAATACAAGGGAAAGAACATTCCCAGTTCCTTTATCATAATTAATTGTCAGACTTTCTATTATTTAGATAACTGTTTGTTTTCTATTACCAACCAGTTCTATATTTTTTATATTATCTGGATATCTCTTTCTATTTGTCGAAATCGAATACGCTCCCATGAACCATTTTCCTCCATTAATATTAACTCTAGTAAAATAATGTTTAATTTTTGGCACACTGTATTATTTATAACGTTGCAACACTGGTCAATATAACGCACAATATATTGTCTTTGCAGTGTTTGACCATCTTCTCAGCCTCCAACTACTACGAGGCTGGTAGCAACCGTGGAGCCTATGTCAAGCTCCAGGGACCCCGCCTGGAGCCTCACTTCGTCCAGTATACTGCTGACATCAAGTGAGACACCCTACCTCTTATTGTACTTCCTCCCTGCCTCACACTGCTGACATCAAGTGAGATAATCTACCTCTTACTTTACCTCCTCCCTGCCTCTCACTGCTGCCAGAAAGGCAAACAACCTTCTCCGTTGTGCAAGAAGACAAAGTCTTCTTGCACAACGGAGAAATTTGTTAAACAAATTAGTGTTATAAAGAACTGTTCAACAGAGAGAAGCAAGCATAACAGAGTAAGGTAAGGTAGCGGTATTCATTTAAAGCATCTGTACTAAACAGAAGCGTTGATCTTAAAGTGAAAAGCTGATATACAAAATCAGTTATCTCAGAGGCATTGATTTTAAGCAAAATAAATGGTCAAAGTATTAGTTATAAACAGAGGCAAGACAATAATAGTATACACTAGCGACAAGATGTAGAATTAGTTACACGCGCAACGCCTGAGTGTCTTTAAACGAAGACGTTTCGCCCAGAAGTGGCGTTACCACTTCAATGCAGAGATGAGATACGAAGACAGCAGAACATGAGGTAATCAGTCCCTCAGCCTAGAAGCCGGTGTTCAACACTATGGCTTCTAGGCTGGAGGACTTATAACCTCACCTTCCCCTGTCTCCTGTATATAATTTTGCCAGGCAGATTGACTGATTACCTCATTCTCTACTGTCTGCTTATATCAGTTCTGTGTAGAATTAATAAAGTCACTGGTTGGCGAAATCTGTTAATATAAAGATCCCCAGGGGTTTCACATGTGTCTAATGCCACATATAAATAAATAAATAAGCCATTAATATTGATAATAAACAAATGCACTGATTACAAACAAAAGCACTGATTAAAACAAAAGCACTGATCTTAAAGAATGACACTGATTAAAAACAAAAGTACTGGTCTTGAAGAAAAAGAATGGACCAAAACGACAGCAATAATACTAAATGAAAACATTGGTACTAAAAGAAATATCATTGTTCCTAAACAAAAACTCTGCTATGATATCATACATGCTAATGATATCATACATGCTAATGATATCATACATGCTAATGATATCATACACAAGACAATACTGAATGTATGATCACTTTTAACTCAATTTTTATGCATGTGGCTAATAAAACTAAACTGGAAAATAGAAATTTATCTAGCCAAATACTGTTATCACTCAGCCACCGAGCTTATACAAGCAAGATGTTGCAACTAGTGCTCTTGTGACCTGTTTGTATTATCGTCAAGAACAGTGTTTCAACTGTCTCATCCCACGGTCCCTGAAGCCTTCATGGACCATCTATTCTCGTCCTCCTCAAAACCACATAACATATAATTCCAAGATGAGCCGTAATAAACGGCTGTTATTGAATAAATAGAAAATTTATTTCGTTTATTATGGCTGATATAATGTATCAACAAGCAAACGGCTACATTAAATCCTAAATATATTTTGGCTTTAAATACTCTTTAGTAATTCCACTATAACACAGTTCAATAAGAAATGCATTAAAACACTAAATTCTCTCAGACTGTACATTTTGTTTCATTAAGTACTACACCATGAGTCATTCATTCAGCATAAACAGCAGCGAACGTTCCATCATTCTTCCGCTAATTGCGACCAGTTGTCTGTAAGTCAGGTTTTCGGTAATCTAAGGTACTGCTGGTTAACCTCTGAGATATAGAGCAAAACAAAAGAGAGGAGCTTACGATGACGTTTCGGTCCGACTTTGAAAATGGTCCAAGTCGGACCGAAACGTCGTCGTAAGCTCCTCTCTTCTATGTGCGAGTTATTTGTGTATAGTTCCAGTCACGGTATTGTGCCTTTTTTTGTTATTTATATATGGAGCAAACGCAAGAACGATGTGTCTTTTCTATATTATAACCTCAGAAGATTATCCTGGGATGTGGTTTGTAAAAGAAGCCATCCAGCACATTCCTTCGCCCTAGGGAATCCATATAATGAATTTAATAACGATCTGCTCATTCGTTGTAGCTCCACAGCACCAATGTTATGATCCCCTTTTCCTAAACCCACAGGTGACATTTAATCACGACATAGTTTTAAAGAATGATAGTATTTTCAAGTGTGAGCAGCCAGGACATCGCGAGTCTCATGTAAAACTTGTACTAAATTTAGTAAAAACTTATTTATTCGCTTTTACTCCATTTCCAACATTTTTTTATATACTATACATATGTATTTTAACCTCTTCATTATACATATCAATGCTTTCCTTCGACCTAGTTGCTTTCACTCACCTGTGACATTGTCTACAACTGCTCCGACCTGGATATATTATCTCAAGCCTGAAGGACTAAAAACCTCAAACTTCCTCTTCATATATTTCACCATTTTTCCCACACATGCAACTAATCTCATCTCGTCCATCTTGTTTCTATCCCATGCCACTATTTGTGTAATAAATGCTAAGAATCCCTTTCATCTCTCTCCCTTCCTCTCTCTGTTCGTCCCTGTTAGTTCCTCCTACTCCCTGCTCATCTCTGCTCATCCCTACTTCTCCCTGCTCGTTCCTCCTCCTCCTCCCTGCTCATCCTCCCTGTTCATCCTACTCCTCCCTGCTCCTCCCTGTTGCTACCTGCTCCTTCCAATTTGTCCCTAATCCTTTCTGCTCGTTCTTGCTTCTCCATTATCTCTGCTGCTTCCATTACCACCTCATCGCCACTATCGATATTAACCAAATAAACTTGTCTCATTCCACTGACAACTGCCATCTCCAAAATCCACAATATCACAGTTCTGACAAATCACACTGCCCAGTTCTATAGTACTATATTCTATTATTTTCCCACAAGCATCCGCACCTCTAACTATTTCTAGTTTAAAGACCAAACAGCTCCTTCCATTGAAGTGCCTAAAGCTTCTACCTCTGTCCTGGATAAACGAACCCCATCCCTGGCATGCTTGTTATTCTTGTTTCAGTTGTCAACAAATGATATTACAATAAAATAACATTGTACATCCAGCCAGCAATTGACACAAGTTGCTCTGGACAACCTTTCATTTGCAAAATGACATATTGCAGTAATTCCTCCTTTCTTAACTAAGTCTATTGCTACCTTATACTTTCTGCTCAGGTCCTCACTTCCACCATTGTCAACATTATTTCCTCCAGCTCTGGGACAGATAGTAGGGTTACTCTTATTACCTCTCATAATGCTGTCAAGACAGTTAACAATATCCTGCATCTCAGCTCCAGGAAAACACACTCTCTGCCTCATACTCATATCACTTAAGTAAAAAGTCCTATCCATAAATTTATTTTGACTGTCTCCCAACAAGAACAAAGATCTTACCTTTACTGGCAACGTTCGTCGTGACATCGTGGCGCCCCGTGGAGCGGTTTGCAGTGCACTCAGCATGCACACACTAAGTGTCCGTGGTTCAATCCCCGGCACGGGTGGGAACGTTGGATATGTTTCCTTACACCCGCTGTCCCTGTTCACCTAGCAGTAAGTATGTACCTTAGTGTTAGTCGATTGTTGTAGGTGGCATCCTGGGAGACAAAATTAAAGGATCCCAATGGAAATAAGACAGTCACGGATAGCGCACTTGCTTTACTGGATTACCGTGGGTGGCTAACACTATGAGTTAAAAATCCGAACAAAACATTATCTTATATTATCCTCAATTATTGGATCACAATCACCGTCACTAGTGGTCATTGCTGGGATATTCTCGATGACTGTCCCACACTTGTCAGGTAGAACAGAGAAGGAATTTGCGATCTCCACAGCAGTCTTCTAGACTTTCCTCTTCAGCATCATCTCATTCCTCCCCACCTGCTTTCAGTCGTTATGTCCAGTCCCATCATTATCACGGCTGGTTTTTACCTCATCCTCCAACTCCTCCTTCTCCTCCTCCCCCTCCTTGACCGAGGAAAACCCATGCGCTCCTCCTTAAGCTGCTGAATCTTCTCTCTAGCTCCCTCTGCTCTGCATTACCCTGAAGTTATAGTTACATGAAGCTCGCAGAAACCATCCTTACTATTTCAGCAGGCCAAAAACAGAAGTTTTTCATTTATACACTGTAAACATATCTCTCCTAATTCTATGCCTTTTCAGAGAATGCAAATTCATTGTCATCATTGTAAGTTCGTATGAAAGATTTGACACAATTTTTCAGTCTTTACGACCTTGTCTGCTAACTTTACATTACAAAACTCTTAATATTTTTGCACTTGGGATTTACGATAGTAAGCGGAGTATGTTCAATAGGACTCGGAAACTGACTATCCGGGAGAGGGTTGGGAGGCTGGAGACCTCAGCCTTCAGAGAGCTGCAGGAGCAGATCCTCGCCTCTAAGACCAGACTGCAAGAAGCCTTTTTGAAGAGGGACAAGAAGAAAACAGGTAAGCACCTAATTACCACTAAAGATTTGTGATGAACACTGGGAATTGTGAAGTAAGTTAGTCCTTCATCCCTTTCTGACTTTAAGTGTAATCAAGTGTATTCAATAGTAGTTTTATTGTTTGATTAAAATTACTATTAACAGAATCTAAGGGATTCTTTCAAAGTTTAGAATAAGTATCTCTATCATTTAAAAGATTATTAATTTTTCTTACGAATGATACAGATACTTATTCTAAGCATAGAAAGAATGCCTTAGATGCTGTTAACAGTAATTTTAATCAAACAATAAAACTACTATTGAAAGGCAAAGATGAATTCATTGAAAAATTCATATCCACTAATACATAGACTAATACATCTTTACCCTATATGTATGGATTAATAAAAACATAAACCAGGTAATCCAACCAGACCTATTATTACTTCCATAAGTTCAGTTTCATACAAATTATCTAAATGGCTAGTAGATATTTTGAGCCCAATTGTTGGAAAATATTTTAACTTTAATGTTAAAAACAATATAAATTTAGTGGATAAATTAAGCACCTTGACTGATTTAAATGATTTCAATATGGTAAATTTTGATGTTACTTCCTTATTTACAAAAGTTCCAAATAATGATTTGTTAAGTTTCTTATCTAAAGAACTTATTAATTACGATTTACAATTGGCAGTACCTACTATCATTAAACTTATTAAACTTTGTATTGCCGATGCAAAGTTTGTATTTAATGATGAGTTTTACACAAACAAGTTTGGTATAGCAGAGGACATACTCTCTCATCCGTCCTTAGTAATTTGTATATGGAATATTTCGAAACAAGATTACTTAACAAAATCCTTCCCAATAGAGCCAAGTTTTATGCCTAAGAATATAGATGTAAACCATTTCCTTGTTAAATTAAATAATTTAGCTCATTCCATAAATTTTACTGTTGAGTTGGAACAAAATAATTCATTCCCTTTTCTAGAAGTTTTAATTATTAAGGGGAACCATGATTTTAAATTTTAAATTACTGTTCCTATGTACACTATTATTCTTCACGTCAAGATGAAGTTAAACTGTCTATATTCTCATCATTGTTTCTGTATTTGTACCCCTTTAAGTATTTGTAGCCCAGAATTCATAGATGAAGAAATCTAGAAAATTTATGAAATAGCTAGTGATCTATAATATCCAAGAAACTTAATTGATAAATCTTTTAAAATTGCTAGGAATACTTTTTACAATTCAGAAAGGGACAACCAACCTTATTAAACTATAAATATGTTGGTTCTCCCTTGGTTGATTTGCCTTCAAACCATACCCCGGCCGGGATTGAACCCGCGGTCAGAGAGTCTCAAAACTCTCTGACCGCAGGTTCAATCCCAGCCGGGGTATGGTTTGTTTGCAATCGTGTCATAACGATTTCGTGAGTCATGTTGACGGCAGTGAGGGGACTTGAGCTAGAGTTCGTCACGGCCACGCTAGCTGAGATTCGTCTGTAAAAACTTGCATTTGTGGTCACAGTGGTGCCTGTGCTAACTTTCCTATGGTGTAGAAATATACCTAGTTGGACGAATCTTATTGTGGCTAGCTGGTCTAGTGGCTAACGCGACGGTCTGGAGTTTTGAGACTCTCTGACCGCGGGTTCAATCCCGGCCGGGATATGGTTTGTTTGCAATCGTGTCATTACGATTTCGTGAGTCTTGATATGCCTTCTCTACTTAAGAATTTTAATATCAAAGTTGTATTTAGAAATCTTGATACAGTAAAATAACTTTTGATAAAAAATTACCACCAAAATGCTGATGGATGTGTCTACAATATTTCTTGTAAAATATGTGATCAAGTTTATTACGGTCAAACTGGTAAAAATCTTGAACTAAGATTAAAACAACATAAATATAGCAGTAGAAGAGGACAACATTCTAATGTTCTGTTTATTCCTGTGTGAGATTTTAATCATACATTTGATTTTCAAAAGGTTGAGAAGGTTATATTTAGCAAGTCTATGGTCGACACGAATATAAAAGTATCAAGTTTCATAAAAAATAGTTTTGAAAATAATGTGAATATGCTTTTGGGTTATAGAAACTGGATTCATGTATAATTAATAAAATTTGGGAAGAATTTAAAATACATTAGACAAGTTGAATTCTTAATGCCTAGGTAGAACATAAGCTGTGTTTCACCTACATCATCATAAAAAGTCAGGTGTTGTAAGGTAACTGTGAGGTGTAGTCTCGTTCCTTATATGCCTTCCTGTCAATGTTTTATTTTTACACTTCCTTCATAATATGAGAAATCACAAAAGCGCTTGAAATTTCAATATATATATATACATATATATATATATATATATATATATATATATATATATATATATATATATATATATATATATATATATATATGTATATGTATATATATATATATATATATATATATATATATATATATATATATATATATATATATATATATATATATTGTATATTTTATATATATATATATTATATATATATATTAATATATATATATATATATATATATATATATATATATATATATATATATATATATATATATATATATATATATATATATATATGCAAAACAACCACTCTGAAAGAATAGAGAAATTCCAAGCGCTTTCGTGACTACTCACATTATCAAGGAACTATGAAAGTGAAGCATCCAAGGAAGCTATATAAAGGGTCCAGCCAGCACCTCACTATCAGATGCCACAACGGTTAAACACGTGACGCGCGGCGAGCCAACTTGGATAGGTCCTTTGCACAACTCACCCCAAGCTATTCTACCCAAGAAAGTTTAAAAATTATTTGTCCAGTGTATTTTTAAATTTTCTTGGGTAGAATAGCTTGGGGGTGAGTTGTGCCGCGTCACGTGTTTAACCGTTGTGGGATCTGATAGTGAGGTGCTGGCCGGACCCCTTATATAGCTTCCTTGGATGCTTCACTTTTATAGTTCCTTGATAATGTGAGTAGTCACGAAAGCGCTTGGAATTTCTCTATTCTTTCAGAGTGGTTGTTTTGCATATTTTGAAATCACCTGTTCACTGTGATCTTATTGCATATATATATATATATATATATATATATATATTATATATATATATATATATATATATATATATATATATATATATATATATATATATATATATATATATATTACAATATATATATATATAATATATATATATATATTATATATATATATATATATATATATATATATATATATATATATATATATATATATATCTTTCTTTCAACACACCGGCCGTATCCCACCGAGGCGGGGTGGCCCAAAAGGAAAAACGAAAGTTTCTCCTTTTACATTTAGTAATATATACAGGAGAAGAGGTTACTAGCCCCTTGCTCCCGGCATTTTAGTTGCCTCTTACAACACGCATGGCTTACGGAGGAAGAATTCTGTTCCACTTCCCCATGGAGATAAGAGGAAATAAACAAGAATAAGAACTAGAAAGAAAATAGAAGAAAACCCAGAGGGGTGTGTATATATGTGCTTGTACATGTATGTGTAGTGTGACCTAAGTGTAAGTAGAAGTAGCAAGACGTACCTGAAATCTTGCATGTTCATGAGACAGAAAAAAGGACACCAGCAATCCTACCATCATGTAAAACAATTACAGGCTTTCGTTTTACACTCACTTGGCAGGACGGTAGTACCTCCCTGGGCGGTTGCTGTCTACCAACCTACTACCTTGAATATATATATATATATATATATATATATATATATATATATATATTTTTATATATATATATATATATATATATATATATATATATATATATATATATATATATATAAAACAACATAGATAACAACTCAGAGCTTACATCTCGAATATTTCGTCCAGCTCCCTGGCAGTGGGCCGCGTGCCCAGAATGCTGCAGGCATTTCTCCTCTGGATCGCAACACTGAGTCTCTGAAAGAGGAAGCTGGCCAACCTGTGGTCCTTGGTTTCTATGAGGAGCTCTTTGGGGAACTTTAGAGCACACTTGTCCTGTGCTCCAAGGGTTTCCGGCCTTATTGGAATGAAGTTATAGCAAGGGGGAAGGCCTTCATATTTGCGGGTCTTCTGGGTCTCCCTGTGGCTGGCAGCTCTACCCCCTTCAGCTATGGAGTATGGGAAGTAGGTGTTTGTCAATGTAGCAGCACAGGTGTAGTCCCAGGCAGTCTGCTTTCCATCCTTCCAGGGTAGCATAGTGGCTCCATCAGGACGCTTTTGATTTCCGTCAGACCTCTGCACTTGGGGTTCCTGCTGGGCTGGGTAACGGGCTGTAGCGAGGCTTCTCTTTATGATGTCTTTGACCTCCTCATGTCTGCCGCAAATTCACCTATGTTCGGTGAGGATGGGGGCTGCTAGGTGAAGAGCAACACCAATCCGAATGGCCTGTGGGTCGAGTCGAGAGCCCAGGAAGGAATTAGGAACAGCTAGAATTAAATCTCCTGAGTGTGGTGCCTTCACAGCTAGTAGACTAGCTTTGTCCTTTCCTGAAGCATTGGTGTGAGAGAAAAGTTCAACAGATAGGAGTAGCAAGCGAGTATATGGTAACGATAGTTTGATTGCCGGCTGCTTGTTAAGGTAGGGTCAGTCTAGCTCCCGTTATCCCTCCTCCCCCTTTCTCCCCACCCCGAAAGGTGACGTGTGGGGCTCCGGCCAAACACTAATCACTCGACTCACAGCTCCCAGCACAACTGTAAGTAAAAGCCTCTGCTCCTATTCTAGTGGATATTGGTTGAAAGCTTCACTTTTGACCAATAATAAACTTAGTCCTTTCAGTTTTAAGCTCCACATAAGACTTGTCGATAATCACCACCTTTTTTAAGTATCTTGCACTTATCATGGAGAGTGATTTCTTAAGCAGTGGGTAACCTGTCTCTCTTTCCAGCTTGGAATGACAGATTGGGTCACCTGCCAACCAACGAGAAGTGTTGAAGGAGATGGACTGAAAACGGTCT